TCTGCTGCCCAGTGATATTTAACACTCCTGCTGAATAGTGAAAACTAGTCCTATTTACCAATAAGTAATAGTCACGTCTCAAATGGTAAGAGTAAGGAAGATCAAAAAGAGCCATATTCAGACTTATATATAGCAGTGAATAGTCATTGGACTGATGTTGGAATACCTAACATTTTGTGTGAAGAGGCGAGTGGAAGCGATTCGTAAGTTGGTTCGACCGGAAGCTGTAGGGGGATTGCCTTGGAGCTGTGATCGTAGATTTGTGCGAAGAGGTCCTCGGCGCACCGGCCTGTGAACCCGACGAATCCTTGTTGAGCCTTCGTCCGCCAAGTGACCAGCATCGTCAGAGCGGAACATCATTAAGGCTTAACGATAAATTTTCGTATGTAAGTAGAGTTTCGAGTTACATACGAAAAATGAGTAACGTAGTCGATTGTTATAGTAAAAATAGGTTTGCTTCCTCAACAATCCCATCAAAGAAAGTGATATGGGAAAACGCCTGGCCTTCCTTGAAATTGACATCTGCCCTGTGACCCAAGGGCACTCGTGACAATGTGGCCGAGTGGTTAATGTGTCAAGCTCACGTTCTGCACTGTCACGGTTCGATTTCTGCTGGGGATGTTAATAAGCCCTATGAGAGGTCGAAACTGCAGTCCACTGGTGCTTAGATGAGAACAACTTTTGGGAAAGCAAGGCTTTTTGAAATCCAATGGAAACGTCAGCTCTACTCATATCATTGTAGGAAAATTCGACTGCCAGTCCTTGCTCACCTTAAACGAAATAGGGCGAATATATCTCATATTAACAATAATTTACGGAAAACACGAAGGTACGCACACGGCTTTGAACTTGCTTACCTCTCATAGTCCAATTTAATCCACTTAATCATCTCATGTTTTAATTGGATGTCCTATTCTTTGCCAATATAATTGTTAAGTGGCTGCAGATGAAATGTAAAAACGGGTGCAATTGTGACTGAACAGCTGCATCCTCTTCTCACGTGATAGTGCTTCACTAAGCGCGTGTTGTATAAATGCATTGCTCTTGAAATTAGTGTGATGTGAGAGTCAAAACCGGATTCGAGCCTAATCAAGCCTCCTCTTGCTCAATGGTACTTCTCGTCCCCCCACTCACTCTTTCTCTCTCTCTGTAATCCTATCCAACAGCCACAAGTAGATTCCACTTTATTTTCTACACTCATTCCTCTTATTCAGAGTGTTGGCTGTTTTGATGATTTCTATCGACTACCTAATCTTTCGCTTACTGGCATAGTCCCCATATGAAGCTAAGTGTTTGGCATTAGACCAATCTATCTGGTGTTCTGTGCGAGCCATGGGTTCAGTCGATTCCGATTTTTGGACCCAAAGACCCTTGCATGCTGTTTTATGTTAGGATAACTTCTTCTGTTTGGGCCTACAGGTCTCTTCCACATAGGCCCTACCAAATAAACACAAAATTCTGAAGTAGCACGATCT